TTTACATATAAATATATTTTTTTAAATTTTAAAAGGGATGGGCTTTTAGACTTTTAAAAGGTATTACGACAATATGAGAAGGTTCAAACATTTTAAAACTTTATTCTGGTGAAGTTTACCAAACATGCAAAATTGTTACCCTCGAAGAAAATATAATGTAAAAATGATAGTTTTGGGTTTTTTTTTAAATTAAAACGATTAGTTTTTAGGATAACAAATTTGCATGTTTGATGAGAGTAAACTTCTACAGAAGACAATTTCAAATCGTTGAACCCGTAAATCTTTAAAAGTTCAAAAGTATTAAAAGTTTTTGTAAAACAATTGTTGAGCGATTTTTTTTGCAACCTGATAGTATAAACCATATTTTAAACATTGAATATTTTGGAGAATTCGTAATTTTAAACAGCTTCGTCCATAAGATTTCAAAGATAAAGGGATTGTACAATTAGAGTTTGAGGCATGTTATCAGCTCCTTTGTGTGTTGTATAATAATTAATATATTTAGACAAAGATATATGAACATAAAATATCAGTTTTCAAATGTTTGATACATGATTGAAATTCATCAAAAATGCTAAGCAAAACATTTTTCAATAAAATTACGAGAATTAAAAAATGTATTTACTTGCATTTATATAGAAATAGCTTATATAAATATATTTAAAAGAAATAGAAAATAAATAAAATTAATATGATTCATAACAAACATGACAGGTTTCGTGATTAAATGTATGTAGATGAAGACGCGCAACTTCGGGCAGTTTAAGATGAACTTAAAATTCTGAACTCGAACCTAGACCTGTTCATGAACCTGAACATGATCCTAACCTTGAACCTGAAAATGATTATGAACCTGAACCTAGCCCTGAACCTGAACCTGAACATGAGCCTATCCTTGAACCTGAACCTGAAACTGTGTTTAACCCCGAGCATGAAACAGAATCTGAGAGATATTTTTTAATTTGAAAAACTTTAAAATATCATTGCACTTTTGTAGAGAATCTTAAAGTTGTATAAAATGTAATATGCTATACTTTTCTGCGATAATTAAAACCCGATATGATATTTAAATGTATTTATAACAAATAAGAAATATTTAGTTCTAAACTCTAAACGCGCATATTCTATGCTTAAAGAATGATGTCTGGATTTATTTTTCAATGGTTGAAAATAGTGCACGTTTGCACGGGCGCAAATTCACGCAGGTGTCAGCTTCTAAATGAAAATTAAAGTAAACTCTATAGTTCTCTATATGCGCAGATTATTATAAAGATTTATTCACACACAAAGATATAAATACATATATAAATGGTGTAGTTAAAATTTGTTTAAATAAATTTTTTTTTCATCAACTAGAATCATTTTCCCAGATCTTGTATCTTTATAAAGAAAGCCTTGATGACTGGCTTGTTCCTTTACAGTGGTCTCACTATCCATTTCCTCCAGGGAAGTATTTAAAGAATTATCCAAGGATTTTTTGGGTTTTGGCCCCATTTTCGCCACAAGATTGGCGAAAGCCAGATTATATATAGAATCTTCCAGAATTCTATGAATGTACTTTAAAGTTTTGTGAAAGATGGATATTCCAAAAAGGGGTTGTTGAGATATACAATTCAAAATTCAATGTGAAACCTTTCTATACTTGCTCATGCTTTTTATAATCTGAAAAATTTATGTCAGTTAAAATATTTCATTTTACTACAATATACTTTTAGTTTCTAAAAGATAAGCAGAGACACCAAGTGTTGTGATTTTGCAACTCTGTTAAAAATGAAACATGAAATTCTTCCCGTGATATTCTGATATTCTGGCATTACATTACTTATGATGAACACGTTGGGAATATACGAGTACAACATGTGAAAAAGCGACGAGCATTAAATTAGAATTATCTTAGATATTTTACACGGATAATTACGAGAAATAAAATCTAGATATTCTGGCATTGCATTATACTCGTGTTTAATATGATGGAAATATGCAAGATCTTGCACTGGTATCTTGCTATGTGCACAACAGTGAAAAAACGACGGAAATTTTACTAAAATATTTCCGCGTTTTTTTACCCGTGCTTTACATAAGATAAACACAAGGAGGGGCCGTGAATTAATCACGTGAATTATCAACCAGCTCTCCTCCATGCTAATCTAGTCAAAAATCTGTGTTTTGTTTGTTGAGTAAATGTAAATAGAAGTAATGTAACCAAATCTAAGTAAAAACTTTGCACCACAAATAAAAAATTAAAAATGTATCTACTGTTTACAAATCCCCCACGTTATTAATTACATTTTGAATACAAGAACTGTGTTAATAGAATTAGAAAGTCTTCTTTTGTGACATTTGAAATAATAGCAACAATAATCCCGTTTTGTACTCATCCTGTACATTTTTTTATTAATGAAAAAATATTTGGTAAAAAAAATGAGAGGTAGAAGGTAAATAGCTGACAGGATGGGGAGGGGGGGGGGATGTTATCCATTGTCCTTACAGCAAATGAAGAAAACGCAATATTATTGATAAAGGATTTGATTAAATGTCGTCATATTCTGAACTTATTCAGAATTTATGTTGAATTATCATTGATTATGAGAGTTCTCAGTAGATTATATGTAACCAGTTTTTCAACTTTCATTCGTGAGGAAGCATTTCAAAGTTTTTTATTATCATTAATTTGATTTGTTTATGGGTTTTCCTCGGTCTTAATCTCGAATTATCTCATAACTTAGAAATTGTTTCTGATTTTTAACGTTACCGCTTAATAAACTTTAATAAAATGTTATTTTTTGTATACAAATCAATTTTTTCCAGTTTTGAAAAACAAATTTATCACGTATTTTTGGCTGGAGTTTTGGGGTAAAATTAGGTCAAAATTTAGACAGACAGACAGATAGATGAATTTTCTATAGGAATATAATTACCCATTTGAAATCTCAAAACAAAACAAAAACTATTTATTTTCGTATCGAAGAGCGTTTTATCTTCGACCAAGTACCGTTCGTTCCATAAATTTATGTCAGTTCCAATTTTTTTAGAACGCTTTTTGTGCGTTCGTTATTTTTTAGGAACGATGGCATCCTTAACGGGATATACAGGTTGCTCATTAAAAAAACAACTGTTCATCGTTAACGACGCCCAGTCCTAGCTCTAGCTCATAAACATAACATGACACAAAGACCGTGTTTCGTGTAACTTGGTAAAACTAAAGGATATTTTCAAACCATCAAGAATTTAAAATCAATTTGAAAATTGTATGAATACTAAATTAAACAAGTTATCATTTGAACAGTCCAAATTATGGAAAACATTTATAAAATCTATAACATTTAACAATTTGCAGAAAGATGACATTTCATAGCAGTTTGAATCTAACTCTAATTCCATTGACTGAATTTTTTTGGAAAAGAAATGAAATTCCTTTGCAAAGATCTGGTTTAAACATTTACTCTCAGACAAATTAGAACCAATGGAAATTAAACCCCCCGAGGGATTCAATGATAAACCTGAGGCGTAGTTTGTCCAAGGGTTTATCATTAAATCCAATCAATGAAAAATGTTGCATACCAAAAAGCGTTTTTTATACAGGAATGCGCATTTTTATACATATTTTGAAAATAATCAAACAATCCGTGTAAAGCCCTCCCCAGCTCCACTCTCTCATTCTAGACTAAAGGATGAGCTATTGGATGAAAGAATGGATTAGCAGAATGTAGAATGTAGATGATGAATATATTATTCCTTCTGTGAAAGTTTTCAAAACTTTTGGAATAAATTCAAATCAACATTGATTTAATTCCAGGGTTCGTCCTATACAACCTGTTAACAAATTAGCAAATTCGATTGAACGAATTCATGGACTAATGAGTTGATGAATTAATGAATTAATAAATGAATTACAGAATTATTAAGTTAATGAATAGGTTATTAAAATAATGAATTATTGAATTGATAAACAAATGATTTAATGAGTTCATGAATTAATAAATTAATTTAAAATAATGAATTACTAAATTATTGAATTAATGAATAAGAAAATATGTTTTTTAACAAAATGTCTAAATCAAAAAAAGACACATTAAATATTTATATTATTTCAATTATATCCTATAAATTTTTTTTAACCCCCCGCCAATCATTCATTATCTTACAGTTACAACATTCAAACTCCTTTACTACCACCCTCCCCTGTCCCCACCCTCACATTCCCGGTACTGATAGTCCATATTCATTTGAACCCCCTAAATACAAAATATCTTTAAAGGGACTGTAAGCGTAATTTCAAGTGACCCTCAATGCAAAGATGGCAATAGCCGATTCACAACGATACCCTTAAACCTGAATCTGATCAAAACTGTGGAAGATACCGACGTTTTTCTGACCCGAAATGTGTTTGCTTTGAGACTTTACATTGGTTCTTAAAAACAACAAAGGAATTGAGTTTTTGCCGCAAATCCCAATTTTATAATACCTAAATCTCAACACCCAGATGATACAAACCTTTCACATTTCAAACTTACATTGTTTGATCCAACAGAATTCATAGTTTGAAATATCTACGGTCTACGACATTTGGTTTTAAAGAAATTGGGATTTAAAAATCCGAGTTTGTGGCAAAGACTCGAATCCTTTGCAGATAAAAATACACAACTTAAATAATTAAAAAACATAGATATGTAATTTATACTGAATCAGATAAAGCTTTCATGGATTCACTGTACCGTTGTTAATCGGGCACTGAGATATTTGTATTGAGGGAAACTTTAATTACGCTTTCAGTCCCTATAATAGCAGAATATTTTTATGTCGGATTGCCAGCTAACTCAGCGGCTCAGCTCCATATCCAGGCTTGACTTAAAACTTGAAATCCACCAATGACACAATTTTATCTCTGAAATAATTTTAATAATTTTCCTAATTTTCAAAATTAATTCAACCTTCTTAAGAGAAACATAGATCGACAAGAGCTCACAGAAATTACGGAAACCAAATATCAATTGAAAAAATGACATGTTTAAGACTTTATGTAAGAAGCCAAACTTTTTATTGTTAACATACAAGGTATATACACATATACTGTACATCCTGTATACAAGAAGAAAACAAGAAAACAACATTCTCTTCAAAACTTTACACAACTTTCTACAACTCTTCTACAAGAACATTAAAGGGTGAAACGCCAAACTTAGGACAATGTTAGAAAATGACATAAATTAAAGTTGTTTGAAATTAAAACAAGAACTTGAAATTGAAATTGTGAATAGAAAAGTTATTTAAAGCAAATGAAAAAAAGAAAAAACTTTTGCAAAAACGCTGAATTAAATGCACACATTTTTATAAGTCTAGAGGTTAAAATTTACAACATATTGAAGTAAGGAAAGAATAAGTAAGAAGCCACAAAAAATTTTAAATTTTCCGAAAATGTAATCTTATCGATCCCTGTGGGCTTTTAAAATGTGCACAAACATTGCGTTTAGAATTGTCGTAAGTTTAAAATCTAAACTTGTTAAAATTTGAAGCTAAATCAACATTTGAATTGTTAACCTATATCAATTGGACTAAGCTTAATACAGTTAAAAGATCTCCATTAAATCTAAAAATTCGTCTAGTTTTAGTTCTTGTTTCACTTGAAGATCAAGTTGATCTGTTATATCTTCTTCTTTCTTTTTTTCTACTTCGTCTTCTTCGTTTTCCATTTCCTCTTCTTCTTCTTCTAGCTGAGAAAGATCCAAGGACTTTATAGATTGCTCCTCAACAAGCATTCCATCCTTAAAAACAGGTATTATGTCTTTGTATTTTATTTAATAGTAGCTTGAGAACCCGGCGTTGCCCAGGGTACTCATAGTTACTCCCAACGTTTACCCGAGCTTGGTCGTAAATCACAATTTTAGAAAAGTTAACCCACTCAATTTAGAATCTCAAAACCAAGCTAAGAACATTTCTGTGGTCCTCCCGAGTCGTTAAATTAAAATTTAAGGCAAATCGGTCAAGAGTTCTGATCGGTCATACAAACGAACAAACAGACGAACCGAGATTCAGGCTTTATATACTTAGATATTATATATATAAGACTTTATATATATATCATATATTAGATATTATATCATATTAGATATTATATATACAAGACATTCATATATATGTTGCGTATAGCCGGCCAAACGGCCGGACCAATTGGGCTGAATTTTTTTTTGCTAAAATATTTTTTTTCAATTTTTTTCCACGGGTAACATCGGGCCCTTCAGCTATCTATATGATAAATCAAGACATATATATGTTCCGTATATGGATAGGCTAAAAATCGAAAATTTGTTTGCAAAATGTGTTTCTATTTTTTTCAAAATATTTTTTCCACGGGCATCGCCGGGCCTTTCAGCCAGTATTTTATATGTTTCCAACCTGCTCTAGGACTGATACTGTTAAACTTTTTAGTTCTCCATCTAGTACAACCAGGGAACTCCGACCTGTGGTTGTTTATGTCAATATTTATTTTAAATCATGTACACATTCATGATCCTGTTTGTTATGTTCATGTTTTTTTATGTTTCTTTTTCTGTTCATGAACATTTTAGGAATAATGTTCATGTTTGTGTTTTTATTCATCTTTTTTTAATGTCCATGTTGATCTTTATGTTCATGTTTAAGTTTGTTATCATTTTTATGTACATTTGCATTTTTATGTACATTTGCACACTAATTTTCAGGTTCATGTGAATGATAATGTATTATGTCAATGATTTTGGGGAAAGTCAGGTTTATGTTTATTTTTATTCAGGTTTACATTCATATTCATGTTTATGTTCATGTTCCTCTTTATGATTGTGTTTGCATTAATGTTAATGTGTGTGCGTTTGTTCATATTTCTGTTCTTGTTGATCTTTATGTTCATTTTTATGTTCGTGAATTAATGTAAGCATATTCCCACATTTGTGTTTATTTTTTATCTCTCTGGTCATATTCCTTTTCATGTTCACGTTAATGATAATAATGTTAAAAATAATCATGATGTTTATTTTCATTCTACTGTTCACGTTATTTTCCTTTTATGTTCATATTAAAATTTAAGCAAAAATTAAAATCATAGAAAACTAAACAATAGCTGAATGACAAGAATTTTAAAAGAGGTGTAAAATGTTTCATTATATTTGTATTTCTTAAATTCTTGATGTAAGATTTTGTCAATCCGCGTCTATTTGAAAAAATTATTTTGTTAAGTTAAAAAATTAAATTCATTTAACAAAAAAAATTCCAAAAATTCTAGTTCAAAGGAATTGAGTTTTTGTCACAAACTTAAATTTTTAAATCTCTATATCTTTTGAACCTGATAGAGTAAACCTTTTGATATTTCAAACTTAGATTATTTGATCTAACAGAATTGGAAAATCAGAGTTTGTGGCAAAGACTATATTTTGTATTTTGTAAACCTGATCTAAATTCTTCAAAATGTGTTAAAATCCTCATTCTTCTCTTCTCATCTAAACAATTATTATTTTAAAAAAGATAATTTATTTAGGTAAAATTTTTTTTTAATCTATATATTTATTTAACAAATTTTGAATTATTCTTGAATAGACTATCTTTCCACTGGAAAAAAATTTCAAAAAAGTCTTTAAATATTTTTTTGAAATTTTTCATTTTATTCAAGGGGGCTGAACTGTGCTAGGGTTAGGGACTAAAGTGTGTGGGCTAAAAACAGTACAGAGTTCTTTCTTTTCTTGGGATTTTAATTTTATTTTACCTTATTATAATTAAATAATTGTAAATTTTTAAGGCAGCTTTCCATTTGAATTTAAAAGCTTGATAATAATTTAACACATTTTTTAATATAATAAATTGATTTGAATATACATAATCCACTAATGCAACCTGGCTGAGGATGTTTATTTAAACTTGAAGAGGAACAAACTCGAGAAGAGACTTCATTAACTAAACAAACAAAGCTAAGATTAGAGACGTTAATTTCAAATTTGAATATTGAGATGAGCGAAAACAATTATTTATTAAAAGTTGTTCTACCTTCGGAAACCCGTTTGAAGTCTGGTTGATAAGAATCTAAACAATATGGATTAAAGGGACTGTTAATGTAAGTACAGGTGACCTTCCATTTGTAAAGCAGCATGTTTTAAACCTGTCACTTTACACGTGTATCCGTAGACACTTTGTCTGCCAGCTTTTTAATGTTTAAAGTGTCGGAAATTAAATCATTCGAATTTTTTAAAAACCGCGCTGAATATATAAAATTATAGGTGTTTTTTTGTACACCATTTTTAGCGGGGAAAAACGGTTTCTCCGCCTTCTTGTGCATAGCATATTCTTGCAAACAAAATTTCTATTTTTGTGCACTTGTGTAACTTCTGTTCTACAAGAAAACAAAGATGATGAAGATTAGGACAGATGATGATGATAAAGAGATAGAAGACTAGTGATGAAGATACAGACAAAAATGATGAACATAAAGACAAAGATGATGAAGATGAAGACCAAGATGATGAAGATGTAGACCAAGATTATGAAGACGAAGATGAAACAAATTGATCAGAGAATGAAATTGATTTTAATGATCTAGAAACTGTGAATGATGCATCCAACGGTGAACCGGAAATAGTTGAATCTGAAGATTCCTCCATATCCTGTTAATCACCTGTCCAGTAAAAATTGACCAATTAAATGTCAATTAACCTGATCTTACCCCTCTCCTTAATAATATTTTCATTCAAAATGTGTTGTATAAGTAATATATGTAATTATGTAATGTATAATGACGTAATAGGCCGTCATGCCCTCGGGATATAAAAAAAGTAACAAATATTCCCCATCTTTTAGTAATTAAGCCAATTATCCGACAATTAAGTCAATTATCCGGAAATTAAGTCAATTATCCTACCTTAAATCAAGGTTGAAAAGGTTTTTAGTTACTTCTTTTCCCCTTTTGTCTATTTACCCCTCTTTGAATATTTCTATACCCCTATATCCACTTATTCAAATTGGTTGGTACCTTTTTCCCCAGGAACTCGTTTTCCTTTGTATTAATTATTAGTTTGTATAGAACAAGTTTAAGGTATTACAGATAAATAAAATCTTGTTCAGAATTGTTTTAAACTTAGAACTAAATTCAGAAATTCAGAGATTTCTTGTAGAACAGTAGATAGTTTGATCTCAGAGAAATATAGATTGAATCTATATTGTCTATGATCACACAAGGTTAAATCGGACATGCCTCTTTAAACAGGAAGTGCCAATTGAAATTGCGTCTATACAGTCCCTTTAGAAATATCTAAAAAAATATCATGATCATTTGTTGAACTTTTTTCGTTCCATGAACTTTAATTCAATTTCAGGAATTTTGCACCAGTTGCAACAAAAATGTAATTTTGTTCATTATTCAAATTCAAGAATAAAACCTGGAAGAAATGTAAATGCATTCTTGGAGTGTTTCAGGGACCTTACCTCTCAAAATTTAAAAAAAAATTGGGGTGGGGGGGGGGGGTAAACTTTTTTGTGTAAATTATTTATTTTCAGAGACGTTTCAAATCCTTTGATGCTTTGTTTAGTCTGAGTAGTAATGGCAGATACTAATTGAATTATAGTTTTCATTCCGTTCAAATTATCTAAAAAGTATCCTTGTCCTTGTTGTCATGTTTGTGTACATATTGTTAGGTTTGAATGCCCCTGAAATAGATACTATCCTATCCCCCAAGGGACACTAGGCAACGTTACTCCTCATCAATAAAAAGAATATTCCGGAGTGAAAACTAGAAAGGAAGGAAACTGTAAAATTTAAAGAAAAATAAACTTTTATCCTATTTTTTGATACTCAAGGAAGATACACACACACACATTATTCAAGTTTTTCTTCTCTTTATACCTATTTTTTTAAATCGGGTTTGGCTCAGTTTTTTTCTGATACAAAAATAATTTGTACAAAACATTTAGTTTAGGAACACTAACGGGATAAGGAGGAAAGGAATAGGTAGGTTTTCAATAGAATTTACCATCTATCTGTTTTAATAGACCATCTTCACCACTTTCTTCTTTTTCTTTTTGCATTTTTCTATAAAACTGTTTTTTCTTCAATTCTAACAATCGTTCCCTGTAAATAAAATTTTCAATGCTATTAGCCAAGGAGAATGAATAGTAGGAGGGGGCGATAGGGTTTCAGTACACTTTGCTGTGACGTTTTTGGACTGCTGAAGAACTAGTTTTTGCGTAACAACAATAATAAAGATTGTAAACAATAACACAAATGATAAACATCTGGCATTTCTGGCGTTAGATGAAGATTCACCGTATACTAACTCATGTTTGTTTACATTAGATCGGCTGTCTTTGTTATTGTTGTTACGCAAAAACTAGTTCTTCAGCAGTCCAAAAACGTCACAGCAAAGTGTACGGAAACCCTATCGCCCCCTCCTTCTATTCAATTCTCCTTGCTATTAACCAATATTTCTGTTTTATTCAGATACAATAAATATTCAACTTCAAGACATAAATACACTAAACAAGGTCACCAAATAGATTATCAAGTACAATAGGTGGCAACAGAGAATGAACAAATTATACACAACGTCACAAGTGTCAAATATAACAAAGAAAACGAATTTGTCTCAGATTGGTTGACATGTTTTCTATGATTAAATAAAAACAGAAACTAAAAAAATACATAAATTGCACTTATTTTATTGTAAGAAAAGCACTTTTATTCTAAAATTATCACTATTATTGATAATTTTGTCGGACACAAAAACTGAATTGACACTTGTGACGACAGAATACAACTGTACTGAGAGTGTACAAATTCTACGTTGCCATCTATTGTACTTAACAATCTATTTGAAGGTCACGGATTGATTTTGAATTCATATTTTCCGAAAATAATTTGATTTTACCGAGTCTCATCCTGCTTTATTTTTCTTTCTTCCTTTGCAAGTTCTTCTCTTCTTCTTTCCTCTTCTTCTCTGAATTATGGATATCCATTTTAGGAGGGNGTATATAATACCATGCCTCCTACCTTTAAACCTCAAAAACTCTATCTTCATTTAATAAACAAATGTAAATTATAAAAGGATTGAGCTAAAAAAATTGTTTTAAATTCTGCAATTTATAAAATTTTGAAATGAAAAGTTTCGCTAAAAACGAAAATATTGAGATTAAGAAAATCATCTCGATATTAATCAAAAGATTCTTTGTTTTAAAATTGTATTCTTAGAAGTTAATTTTAAAGATCTTCTATTCTACAATATGTGTTAATATTAGTTCTTTAATCTTAGTTTTGATTTACTCTCTCCAGCAAATATTAATTATTAATTAAAATATGCTAAGTGGAAAATGATAGAATTGATATTTGACAAAACTTGATTAAAATCCACTCTCTACAATTTATGAATATTCATAGCTCATCAGTATCTAAAAGTTTTCATGAAATTTTAAAGAATAGTTCGAATAAAGCTCAAAATTACATATTATTGTATTACGCCAAACTTTTTGTGTAAATAAAAGAAATGCCTCCATAAATAAATCTAATTCGTAATGTCTGTCTCCTGATGGATTGATTAGGCAAACATTTTCAGTGCTCACATGACTCAAGATCTGAATTATGGCTGGTCAGGTTTAGTAAAGGAATTGAGTCTTTGCCACAAACTCAAATGTTCTAATCTCAATCTCTTAGCAGCCTGATGGGTCAAACTTTTTATATTGCAAACTTAGACTATCTGATCTAACAGAATTTATAGATTAAAATATGAAAGGTCTACGACATTTAGTTAACATGATATAGGGCCGGATTAGAAAATCAGAGTTTGTGGCAAATTATAAATATTTCTAAATCTTGAAAATTAGATTAGATTTGTTATGCAAAGACAGTAACATTTAAAAGATAAAAGGAATTAAGTTTTTGCCACAAATCCTAATTTTATAATACCTAAATCTCAACAACCAGATGCATGCATACCTTTCATATTTCAAACTTAAATTGTTTGATCCACCAGAATTCATAGTTTGAAATATCTACGGTCTACGACATTTGGTTTTAAAGAAATTGAGAATTAAAAATCCGAGTTTGTGGCAAAGACTCATTTCCTTTGTTGAAAGTGCCCTTAAAGCCTGATGTGTATTGTGTATAAATATGAATAATTATGTATAGATATACAAAAGTTTGCATTTGGAGTGTTAAAATATTTATGTTTCTATGTGTATAAATATACCAAAACATATATAAATCTGTATAATTTGTGGCACTTTGAAATATAAAATATTAACCAAAAAATATTCTTTCTTTTTCTACTTTACAAAATAACCTTCGTTTCTCCTGTTTCTGCTTTACACCCTTCTTTCTTCCTGTTTCTAATTTACACAATAACCTTCGTTTCTCCTGTTTCTGCTTTACACCCTTCTTTCTTCCTGTTTCTAATTTACACAATAACCTTCGTTTCTCCTGTTTCTGCTGTACACCCTTCTTTCTTCCTGTTTCTAATTTACACAATAACCTTAGTTTCTCCTGTTTCTGCTTTACACCTTTCTTTCTTCCTGTTTCTACTTTATACAATAACCTTCGCTTATCCCGTATCTGCTTTACACCTTTCTTTCTTCCTGTTTCTACTTTATACAATAACCTTCGTTTCCCCTGTTTCTACTTTTCACAATAATCTTTGTTTTTTCTGTTTCTACTTTATACAATAACCTTCGTTTCCCTTGTTTTTACTGTACACAATAATCATCGCTTCTCCTGTTTCTACTTTACACAATAACCTTTTATTTTGTTTCATCTTTACAGAATTAACGTTATTTCTCCTGTTTCTTTTTTACACCATTACTTTCCCTTCTCTTATCTTTTAATTACGCATCTCGTCTCTCTTTTTCCGGTGTTTTTTCGCAACTAAGCTTTGTATCTTCTGTATCATTTTGGTGACAACTTACCTTCGTTTCTCCTGTATCTCAGCATCTAATCTCTCCTTCTCCTGTTTAAGAACACAAGGACAGGCAAACGGATGTTTTTCTCCGGGGAAATCCTTTCCTAAAATAAAAATAATAAAACTGCCTTCATCTTTTTCAATTATTCAGAGACCAGAGATGGAATTTAAAGAATTTGAGCCGCGGTTTAAATCCGCCAAAACCCGGTTTAAATTAAGCGCCGGCTTGAATCTTGAAACATTTGATACAATTGTAAGTGGGACCCACCATATTTAAACCGCGGCTTTAATTTAAACCGCCGCTCAAATTCTTTAAATTCGGCCACAGATTTAATAAACAGCATGATATAGCTGAACATTGCAGATGTAGTTCAAACAACCTCTACGCGGTTCAACCATGTCTAGCCACATAAATTAGCAATAAATGAGTGAAAACAGATTGATTTTAAATTATCATTTATTTAATATCTTGACATCCCGATATTCTCCCGTGTGGTCTAAAATGTCAAGAAATAGATTTTTTGATAAAGAGATTTCTATTTTCTCAACTGCATCTGTCATTTTTGTCTGCATTGTCAATCTCAACGACTTTAAAGGCACTGTAAGCGAAACTTCAAGTGACCATCCAATGCAAAGATGGAAATGTTCAATCATTCATAAACTTTGACTGATAAAGTATAATTTAGATATGTTTTTAATTTTGAAAACTTAATATTTTTAATTGTGGTTTTGCTACAAATTGCAAAGTAACTTGTGCATTTCTACATTTCTAATATAAGAAAACATTTTTTCTGCACAAAATTTGAAATATCAAAGGTTTACACCATCAGGTAGCAAAGTTATAGTTAGTAACGACCTTTTTTCTTGTCTAGATTGAGGTGAACCCACCTGTGAGATCTCCCAAGCAGACCCTATTAGATTGTATTCTATGGGTTTTCAGGAAAAATTGTTCATAAGTGGATTCAAGATATTCAAGGTTCTTCCAAACTTGACTCATGTTTGCCTAAACAATACTTTATCAATGAGGTTTTAATAAGATGGCCTGTTTTTTTTCTCAGTAATATTAAAAAAAAAGTTGGCAAAATTGTTAGAATAAGATTTTCATTTTAGCTCACTCGCCACTAAACCCTAGATTTTTTAGAAGAGGATATTTCAGATCACTGCAGAACACGCCGAAAACTTAGTTTAGATTGATAAGAATATAAATCTATATAAATCTGTTACATTTAGTGTTCTTGAAATATATATGGTTTTTTATTTAATCTTTCTAGAATTGGAAATTTTTATTAATTAGTTAAAAGAACGTGGAATTTTAAAGATGGAGTTTTTGGAAAATTGAGCCAGCTTGTGTGTAGAGTTAAATGTATGAAATTCATTTGAACATAAAATTTAAAACATTAAATGACTTAAGATTATTTACAACTACTTTACAGGGAAGTTAAGGAAAATTTACTTTACCATGGGTTCAAAATTAGAGATTCAAGAGGATTTAAATCCGTAATTCAAGATTTGAATCGGCAGAAGGAAGTTTAGCTACATCTCCAATTCGTTAAATTCGGTAACAGTCTCTGTATAAAACAAATAAGGGTTTGAAATAAAGATATAACTGTATTATTGCAGCTCTAAACCTATCCTAAAATAAATAGTTTTTCAAATAAAGATAAAAACTATGAATGTAAAAACCTTAATATCTTGACTGTTCTGTAGTATCTGCTGGACCATAATTCGAACTCGCAAATCTCTGGCAAACCAAACCAACCTTTAAAATGTTTTATCGAGTAGATTTATTACTTCCGTTCTATTCTTTACTCTTTCAACTACTGGGTTAACCACAATAGATGAGAATTTAGTTTACAGTATTAGGTTCAGTTTTATATTTCACGAATTCATGGTTCCCTGCTGCAGCAGCTTTTCTTAAAAAAATACACATATAAGACAATTTTAAAATTGTTAATACACAAAGTAATACAATTTACTGTAAATACACATATAAGACAATTTTAAAATTGTTAATACACAAAGTAATACAATTTACTGTAAATACACATATAAGACAATTTTAAAATTGTTAATACACAAAGTAATACAATTTACTGTAAATACAAATATAAGACAATTTTAAAATTGTTAATACACAAAGTAATACAATTTACTGTAAATACACATATAAGACAATTTTAAAATTGTTAATACACAAAGTAATACAATTTACTGAAAATACACATATAAGACAATTTTAAAATTGTTAATACACAAAGTAATACAATTTACTGAAAAGCTCAATTAAATGTGTTAGGCCACCTTGTTCTTGATATTGAGTAAACATATCTTTGCCTACCAAATATTAATGATTGGTTTCTTACTTACTTTCTGTACGATTGAAATTTTAATTGGGATTTTTTGCACTTGTTGTTGATTTTCGCGATTTTAGCTGATTTTGATTAAAGTAATTATCTCCAAACTCAAGCCTAAATTTTTATTATTTTTTAAGACAAACAAAAATCGTTAACACGTAGAATTAATGGGTTTTTTTCCATTATTATTTATAATTTTTATTTTTATTTTTAATAGATATAATTGATAATATTTTTATTAAGTCCGTATTACGACACAAGAACTCCCACAAATGAGAGTGCAGTATACTGGTCACGTGATACAGACAGAGACACGTGAATCCTATACTGCACTACTATTGGTGGGAGTTCTGGTGACGTAATACGGACTTATAAATAATATTATCAATTATAACTATTAAAAATAAAATTAAAAATTATAATATAATAATTGGAGAAAACCTAAGTTACAATAAGGTTTCTCTGAGATACCTTCGTTTTCGGATTGGAGTATTTGCTGAAAATGATCTGTTTAAACCTACTATTTCTATGCAAAATAGTAAAAATATGAGTTTTCGTATAAATTTGACACAGTTTTATATCAATTTCTTGAGAAAGATAGAACTTTCATGGGTCGCGATCAAGAGCTAAAGTGATAAGCTTTCAGCCTATACCCCCTTTCATTTTTCCTTTACAGTCCCTTTAAGTGGTCATTTGTATTCAAACAAGTTACAGAATTTCGCCTTTAAAGGGAATGTAAGCGTTATTTCAAGTGAATCTCAATTTACAGACTACGACATTTCCTATTCTCTATAGTACCCTTTTAGTAATGTCTGATCAAGAATGATAAGATATCCATGTTTTTCTAGCCAAAAATACATTGCTTTTGATTGTGGTCTCTCAATAAAAGATAAAGGTCAATTTTTTATATATGTATAGTATAAACTTGTTAATTTGTCTTCTGTTTGTAACGCAAAATATTTTGTTTGTTCAGCAGTTGATTTTCCTAAGTTTGCATTGAGTGCCCCGCTTCAGATGCAAATCCCCACAAGTAGAGCAGACACTAAATGAAAGAAAATTGTCACTTTACAGTGGAAACCATAAAACTTTGGAATAGGAATACGACATTCAAGCAATTCTATATATATTGGATGATGTTTAATTATGATTAGTTTTATCAATAGCTCAAAAATAAATGTATTAAACTGCCTTGTTTAATGTTCATTTAATATCATAACTTAATTGTAACAGTTTATATAATATATTATTTACTCCGAAGTTTTATGGTTCCCACTGTACTGAGAGATCTCTTTTCTACGATAAATATGATATAATCTATTTAAGATATTTATGATCAAACTTACTTTTGTTTCAAACATACTTTCTTCTTCAGCTTCGAGGCGATAATTCTTTTTTTCTTCTTTTTCTTTTTCTTGGATTTTTCTTTTCGCTTCTCGTCAAACTGTTTTCTTCTCGCTGCTTTCTCTCTGTCACTGGCAGTTCTGAGCATCTTATGTTTCTTTATAATGTCTTCTATCAACCGGTTTCTCACCTATTTCAATCAAATAATCATCTGGCCTACGTTGCATTCCATGGATCAGCAACGGAGGCCAAATGAATTAGATAGTTTTAAAGCATAAATTGTTTAGAAAAATCAGACCCACTTAATAATTTAAACGTTCGGCCGAATAATCATTAAGATTTTTTTATATTTAATTTTGAAATATAACATGCTTTTAGACTCTTTTGTATTTGGAGATCTTTGTATTTGGAGATTTTTGTATTTTGAGATTTTGTATAACCAAAACGTATGAATTAGATTGGACACAAACATACTGTCTCTGAGTAGATCTTTGAGTACTCTAAAACCAAATTAAATATTTAGGACCTGACACCCCTCTAATATTTGGTTTCAATCTTCACAGAATAATATTTATCAGTGATCTAAATTTTATCAACAGGAAGGAAAGGAACTGAGTTTTTCCCACAAACTCTAATTTTCTAATTTCTATATCTTTGCAACCCAATTGTTGTAAACATTTGATAATTTAAACTATTAGTTCCGTTAGACCAAATTATCTAAGTTTAAAATATCAAATATTTACACCTTCAGATCGCAAGTTCTGGGGATTTGTCTACAATTATAAATCATTACGTTTTTAAATTTTTGTTGTGTCATTGCATCTAAAATCTACCAGATTCGAAAAGCTTTTTTTTCAAATTGCACAAATTAAAAAGTATCATAAATTCAAATCTGTGAAAAATATAAAAATTATTGTAATTTCAAAACTCGTTGTTTGTGTGGCGGCCAAAAGTTTGATTATGCTTTGTTTAGAAATTTGGTATGTTTGTAAAATTAAATCATTGGTATTTTAAAAGTAGAAGTATTATGCAATCTTAAAGAACTAATGTTTAGTTTTTTTTTGTTCTAACATTTAGCATTCTTTATTTAATGTAAAGGTTGGTGGAATTATTAAACTAAGAGACGTTAACAATTTATGAAGATAATTTGGTTTCAAACCTTATAGAAATCCAAATAGACACAGCTACGTATAGCAACATGGGGTATTTTCCGGGAGAATTTTTTTTTGTATTTTTGAGAATTAAACGTTTTTGTAAAACATTGTAGCTAATCATTATCATTTTCATAATTTCTATTTTTTTTAACATACCCAGACATTAAAGCAGCAAAATATTTTAATATGTACATTTGTACTGCTCTCTATTGTGTTTAAGGTCCCCCCAGATTTTATTATGTACTGACAACATAATTGAATGATTATATGGTTATACATAAATTTGCATGTTACTATTTAAAAAAATATTTTATAAAAATGCTATCTACAGTTTTATTTTTAGAAGAAAAAATTTCTCAAAAGTATTAAAAAGTTCTCCAGTAATGCAAATATGATTTCATAAAATTCCGTTTTACCATTTAAATGAAAGGATTTTATGAAAATTATATCTACTTTACACTGATTATTTAGTTTCTCAAAAATATAAAAAATGTTCTCCCGGAAAATACATGGCGTTGCTATACGTAGAGGTTTCTATACATTGGTTTTCTATAAAGTTTGACGCCAAATTAATTTTGGACCAAACCTTACACTTATTGTCAGGTCCTGGTCAAAAACTGTGATTTTAACTTTCTTCCCTTGCAGTTTGTACTCTATACACAGTATTATTTGATGTAAATCTATAAAATATTTTTGTAGAAACCAAAATGAGAAACCTCAAAAATATTTAATATTGACATACACTGATTAAGACCGGTATTGTATGTATTTGTAAAAGAATGCTTGATATTGTTTTGTAACCGTTCTATGTAACTTTAATTTATAATTTGCTGTCTTTTTAAAAAAAAATTTCGAATAAGTTTCCTCTTGTTTTAAAAAAATGGAGTATAGTTAAAATGTTGCTCTTAAAACTATAGAAAAGATTATAGAGACTTGATATACTTATTTGAAATACTGAGCCCAGAAAAGGATAAAATAGAAATACAAAGACCTACATTAAATGGATAAAATTGGGTTCAAAAGTTCAGACTTGCTAGACCTGTACTCAGGACCATCTTGTTTATCGTGTATATAGTTTCGTAATCATTCTATATTCTTTATGAGGAACGCCTATCACTTCTATTTTTCTTTTTCTTTTTCTTTTCTAGGAAGTTTTCTCTGGGGTTGAAATATCTTTTGCGGGGTAATTTTGGTAGGGTTGAATTACAAAAACAAAGTGAGCATTTTCAAATCTGTCTGAAAAAATGCACATAGCTTGTGTTCTCAATTGATAAATAAATACTGAAAGTTTGGAGAATTAATGATGTAGAAATATTTCTTATATGGTTCCTCTATACACATCACAGGAAGAAAGACAATATTATCCTGGAGTACAATATATATATGATATTTCAAAACAGCATGGCGTGGTCCCCGAACTTATCACCTTTAGGTAGAGTGGTCACCGGAATATATTACCTTTCGATTCAGTGATCTTTAATATATTACCTTTTGATACAGTAATCCACGGAATATTACCTTTAGATACAGGTCCATGGAATTTTACCTATAGATACAGTGGCCCACGGAATACTACCTCTAGATACAGTGGCCCACGGAATATTACCTGTAGATACAATGATCCACGGATTATTACCTTTAGATACATTAGTCCACGGAATATTACCTTTAGATACAGTGGTCCACGTAATATTACCTTTAGATACAGTGGTCCACGGAATATTACCTTTAGATACAATGGTCCACGGAATATTACCTTTAGATACAATGGTTCACGGAATATTACCTTCAGATACATTAGTCCACGGAATATTACCTTTAGATACATTAGTCCACGGAATATTACCTTTAGATATAGTGGTCCACGGAATATTACCTTTTGATACAGTTCCATGGAATTTTACCTTTAGATACAGTGGTCCACGGAATATTACCTTTAGATACAGTGATCCACGGAATATTACCTTTAGATACAGTGATCCACGGAATACTACCGGCCTTTAGTTACATTGATCCACGGAATATTACCTTTAGATATAGTGGTCCACGGAATATTACCTTTAGATACAGTGGTCCACGGAATATTACCTTTAGATACAGTGGTTCACGGAATATTACCTTTAGATACAGAGATCCACGGAATATTACCTTTAGATACAGTGGTTCATGGAATATTACCTTTAGATACAATGGTCCACGGAATATTACCTTTAGATACAGTGGTTCACGGAATATCACTTTTAGATACAATGATCCACGGAATATTACCTTTTAGATACATTGATCCACAGAATATTACCTTTAGATACAGTGATCCACGGAATATTACCTTTAGATACAGTGATCTACGGAATATTACCTTAAGAAACAATGGTCCATGTAACCTTTTGATACAATGGTCACCAGAATATTACTTTTTGATACAGAAGTTCTCAAAATATTACCTTTTGATACAGTGGTTCACGAAATATAAGCCTTAGAGTCTGATACAGTGGTCCATGGAATACTACCTTTTGATACAGTAGTCCCCAGAATATAACCTTTCGATACAGTTCACGAAATATTATATATAATATATTTTAAAAACAGTGTCCCCGAAATAATATACGTTAATAAATGTCCACAATAATATATTCAAAATTAAATATTTGCAAAATTTATCCCTGTAATAACATATTTTCATACTGTCCTCGAATCAATGTATATTAATACAGTGGAAAGTGATCCAAATGTTGTAAACTATCCGCCATAAAATCGAAGAGAAATTTCCATTTTATTATACTTAGAAACTCAAGCTAAAATCAAAGGCTTTATAGTTTAAAATCTTCATGTCTAGGACTATAAAAAGTAAAGTGAGGTAAAGTCATGCAAAGACAAAGGGGGGGTTAGAACATTTAATATTTGACTTTTCAAAGCAGTCTGGATTTTCAAATGTTAATAAAATGATCACCTCTTTGCAAAGTCTAGAGTAGGGGGGTCCAAAATCCTAAAATAAAAAACCATTTAAATCACTTAAATATACTAACAAATCATATTCTTTAATTTTTACAAAAATACCTTAGCATATCTTCCTCTTCTTGGGTCCTGGGCACCCAGGTTAGAATTAAAGTCAGCAGGACGAGGTTTAACATGAACCTCAGCCTTTAATTCAACAAACATAAACATTTTATTCTATTCTTCAATTCAACAAACATAAACATTTTATTCTATTCTTTAATTCAACAAAAATAAACATTTTATTCTATTTTTAGAATTAAAGTCGGCAGGACGAGGTTCAACATGAACCTCAGCCTTTAATTCAACAAACATAAACATTTTATTCTATTCTTTAATTCAAAAAACATAAACATTTTATTCTATTCTTTAATTAAACAAACATAAACATTTCATTCTATTTTTAGAATTGTTGAGAGCATGGTGCGCGACAAGATAAGAGCAATGACAATTAAGATAAAAGATTATTATGAATTTTACCGATTATTTAGAAAATTACAAAAAATTAAATGTTGAAAAATAAATAATTTCTTCATGCTTTCTTCATGCTTCAAGATTTTATTTGAAGCTGTAAATATATAAAACTAAAAAGATTTATTTGGCGGGACAATGGAAAAACGTGTTTAAAAATTTATTCAAAGCAGGGTTGACCTAATCCGATAAGTCCTAACATCCTAAAGAGACATTGTGATATTGATTTCATAATGATCGGGTAATAATTAAGTCTGTGAGAGAAAAAAGAGTTAGGGTTTGTTTTTTGCCAACACCCATTAGTATCTAAAAACTTAGAAAGCTGAAAGGTTTTAAAGCCAAGAGGCTGTAAAGCTAGGAAGCTATGAAACTTTGAGGTTCTAATGTTTTATAGGCTTTGAAACTTCAAAGCTATGAAACTATAAAGCTATGAAACTGTGAAGCTATGAAGCCATGAAACTATGAAGCTATTAAGCTATGAAACTATAAAGCTAGTAAGCTATGAAACTATGAAGCTATGAAGCTATAAAACTATAAAGGTATGAAACTATGAAACTATGAAGCTATGAAACTATTAAGCTAAGAAGCCATGAAACTATGAAGCTATGAAGCTATGAAGCTATAAAGCTATGAAACTATGAAGCTATGAAGCCATGAAACTATAAAGCTATGAAACTATGAAGCTATGAAACTATGAAGCTATGAAGCTATGAAGCTATAAAGCTTTGAAACTATGAAGCTATGAAGCCATGAAACTATGAAGCTATGAAGCTATGAAGCTATGAAGCTATGAAACTATGAAACTATGAAGCTATTAAGCTATGAAACTATAAAGCTAGGAAGCTATGAAACTATGAAGCTATGAAGCTATGAAACTATGAAACTATGAAGCTATGAAGCTATGAAGCTATGCAGCTGTAAAAATATAAAGCTATGAATCTATGAAGCTATGAAGCTATGAAGCTATGAAGCTATGAAACTATGAAGCTATGAAACTATGAAACTTTAAAGCTAGGAAGCTATGAAACTATGAAGCTATGAAATTATGAAGCTATAAAACTATAAAGTTGTGAAGCTACAAAGCTATGAAGCTACAAAGCTATGAAGCTATGAAGCTTTTAAGCTATGAAGCTATGAAACTTTGAAGCTATGAAGCTATGAAACTATAAAGCTAGGAAGCTATATGAAATTATGAAGCTATGCAGCTATGAAGTTATGAAGCTACAAAGCTATGAAGCTATAGAACTACGGAGCTATAAAGCTAGGAAGCTATGAAATTATGAAGCTATGCAGCTATGAAGTTATGAAGCTACAAAGCTATGAAGCTATAGAACTACGGAACTATAAAGCTAGGAAGCTATGAAATTATGAAGCTATGTAGCTATGAAGTTATGAAGCTACAAAGCTATGAAGCTATAGAACTACGAAACCATGAAGTTACATGTATACATACAATAAAAAATGCAGTATACTTTATCTCTACTATAGAGGTCAAATGATTTGGAAAATACTATTAATAATCTGAACTTTTCTTCGAATGCAAATTTAAAGGTTTTGTGACAAACTTTTCAGATTTAGGTTTAGTCCATAAATATCCCCAAACTTTGTTAAAATGATTAAGTTGCTTCCTTAAACCCTATCTTTAAGTAAACTCGACATTATGTTTAGTTTTCAGAATAGTTTTAAATATCTATATATATACTTTGCTTGTCTGCTTGTTTGTCCGTTTGTATCCAATAAATGTCAAAACGGCTGAACCGATTGGGCCCAAATTTTGTGTGAGACATCACGTGGCCCAAGGAAAGGTCTATGAATGACCAAAATTTAAAAAATTTGCCTCCAACAAAATTCGATTTCATAGAAATTTTTAAAGAATTGTTTGTTGACATTTTCCTTGTTTATTTCTTCCGCTATGACCTCTGCCCAGTGTGGTCGTGATGTCGTTGACAAAGGTCGCGACGTCCGTGGGCTTATTCCTGATCTAAATAGAAGTAGAAAATATAATTTTAGAACTTTTGTTTTTTTCTTTCATATAGCGTGGACCGACATTCTCGACATTAATATTACCTACCGGCAATATTTTTAGACTGAACAGAAAGAGTGGGTTAGCAAGAAATATTTAAACCAAAACCGGGGGGAACTGTTACCCGTATAGTTTTGTCAAATTATTGAGATACACAATACTATACTTTAAGGAACCCAACTTTTCCAGGAAACTAAACTTTCAGAATTGTTAAATTAAGCTAAGAACCGAGTTTTATCACGTTCTTCAATCAAAATTTGAGCCAAGTTGGTCAAGCTGGGTTCATGATTTATGATCTAAATCTGACATAGAAACAGACAGACAAACAGATTCTAGCTTGTAAACCTAGCGTATAGAAAAGTCAACTCATTCAATTTAGAATTGTTAAACAAAGCTACATATACAATATGTCATACTAGCTTGGAAACTTAACTTTGCTTTAAGTTTTCCCTTTGGAAGTCAGGACAGTTAATTTAGAATTGTTAAACAAAGCTACATATACAATATGCCATACTAGCTTGGAAACTCAACTTTGCTTCAAGTTTTCCCTTTGGAAGTCAAGACAATTAATTTAGAATTGTTAAACAAAGCTTCATATACAATATGCCATACTAGCTTGGAAACTCAACTTTGCTTCAAGTTTTCCCTTTGGAAGTCAGGACTAGGGTTTCCATTCGCAAAACTTGCGCAATTTTTGCGGAACGAAACGCAATATTTTTCTTTCTTTGCGCATCAATTTTGCGCGAAAAAACAACAATTTGCGCAATCATTCGCAAAANTTTTCCCTTTGGAAGTCAGGACAGTTAATTTAGAATTGTTAAACAAAGCTACATATACAATATGTCATACTAGCTTGGAAACTTAACTTTGCTTCAAGTTTTCCCTTTGGAAGTCAGGACAATTAATTTAGAATTTTCACAAAAAGCTAAAGAACATACCCCCCGTGGTTTCATCGAGTTCCCCAATCATATTTTCAGGCAAATCGGTCAAGAGACTTGAGATTTGACCAGACATCCAAACAAACAAACAAACAGACAAACAAAGATACCTACTTTTATATATACTTATAGGCATATTCTAAAGTCTAAAGGACAATAATTGCAATTGTAAAAATGATTCTATGCTCCTTTCATGTACCCTCTATATGTTTAATATATTGCATGGAGGAGACCAGCTCAGATAAAATTCAATTTGAGAAAATAACATTTGACAACAATTCACAATAAGTTTAAACAGACCCGTGTTTTTGTACAACGTTAAAATGAGGAACAAGACAAGTTTTTGTTTATATCAATAAATCAAAGAAATCTTTTTGTGTGTTTCTATAAAATTACATGTGTTTCTGTCTGAGGGAATTTCTTAAAAAGATGGATCTTTTTTATAATAAAACAGGCCTAACGATAATTTCTTTTAATTAGTTATCAATTAGAGGTGGGATATCGATATCGATATTCATGCTTGCTCTTGATCTTTTTAAATTTAATCTTTATTCGATATCTAGTGTCTAAAATTCGACTAATCAGAGTGTCGTATGCGTTCAACCATTGAGAGAACAGAGAAATTACTAATATTCAAATAAAGAGAACATGCAGATTCTCCGTAAAATTTCAAAGTGCCTCCTGTGGATATCGAGATCAGTTATCGGAATAAAATTTCCGATTCTAGGATTAAAACCAATTAAATAATTACCTGATTTGATTTATCTGCGAAAGGGAGAACATTGAGAAGATATCCCTGCTCAGAATAAAATATTTTTATTAATAATACTTTTTTGTAGAACATTTTATTCGAGATTTCTCTTTCACGATTTTAATCTAAAGGAAATCATTTAAAGAAGATGCAAGCTTCAAATCTTTTGTTCAATAGATTTAACCCACGGTTAATTAAAGTTAACTTTTTGAAAATATTTCAACTTTCTCCAGCTAAAATCTCGATCCCACCGTTCATAACTTTCCTTTCTAGTTTCAAGAGTTTAATTTCTCTCTTTTTTCAATTTCTATCAGACAATCTATTCTTCTCATATCTTCCATAGACCTTCTTTTCTTCTTATATCTTCCATAGACCTTCTATTCTTCTCATATTTTCCATAGACCGTCTATTCTTCTCATATCTTCCCTACATAGACCTTCTATTCTTCTCATATCTCCCATACATATAACTTCTATTCTTCTCATATCTTTCATAGCTAGACCTTCTATTCTCCTCATATCTTCCATTAGACCTTCTATTCTTTNCTTTTGTTAAAAAACCATGATTGTAAATAATCGGTTTTAAAAATTATAAACATTGATATCTAATCCATACTTGATCAGACAACGCATTTAAAGGAACCGTTGTGAATCGGGCATTGTCATCTTGGAGGGATCCCTTGAACTTACCTTTACCTTTAACCTTAATTTGAGTAAAATATTTATCAAAAATCGTAACAGGTTGGTTTAAATAATTTCCCATCTTTAAAAATATTTGCTTCGATGATTGGAAAATGAAAAATATTTTATTCCCTAAAAATTGTTCCCTCGGACTTGACTTGGTTTGTTGAGGGGCTCCCCCAACCACTTTCAGATCTAGAGACATTTTTCTAAAATAATATAATTTGTACATGTACAACATGTACATGTATTATGTAGTTTTCAGAAGAACTTAGTCCTTTTTAGTCCCATATTGATCTTCAGTTCTA